TAAACAATTGTGCACCAAGACTGTTTCTCTGAACCACATGCAAAACAGCTTGGTTGTTCTCCATTACCAAGAAGAACTGGCACTATATTTGCATGGTGGTGCACACTGCATGGAGGTTTAGGTCTTTGATGCTCATACACACATTTGTTGTTGGGTGGAACTCACCCGCGGATCCCTAGGGTCCTTTAGCAGAGAAACAATTAGTGTTAAATGCTTAAAATTAATCCCAAGTGGAAATTCTTTGTTTCAGTGATTAAGGATACGATTGACTGGCCAATGATTCCTTGACTGAGAGAAACATTGAATAGATTAGACACGACTGATGAGTGAAGGGTGTATTTACTCAAGTACAATACTAATTGTACAAATTTGGATGCCTTTACTTACTAGATGTGGGGTTTTTTGTAACACCCATTTTTTGTTACAGTGTGCTATTATTACTTACTAACACTGTAAAAACACATTATTTTCACATTTTCACTTCATTTTCAGTTAAAATAAATTAAAAGCAATTGTGGTCTGTTTAGTATTTAGTCTGTTTTAACGTTGCCATGTATAGAACGTATGATGTACAATGTATAATGAGAATATAGGTCCTCTCATTTCCTAGTTTTTTCCAGAAACCTTTCCCTAAATTAATTATAGCTCCATGTATGGTTGCGCCATCAGGTCAGGATCACAACTTCTATAAAGAGAAGTAAGAATTGTTGAGGAGATGGTAAAGAGATAAGACACTTTTAATGTGACAGTGTTTGACTAAATAGAGCAGTGCACAACATCTAAGTGCAGACAGGACCCAATATAGTTGAAGGGTTGTCCAAATGTGAACCGGTTTTGCCTGGGAGTGACAGGATACAGGAAAACAGATGTCACAGATGAGGAAACCAGTTGTGATTATTCCAACACTGGAACAAGCTTTCCAAAACAGAACACAGAACAGAAATTTCATTTACAATTAGTGTAGGTTATTGTACTGCATACTTAAACTAAATCAATGTGAAGTTCAATATGTACTGTGTTTCACTTAGTTGTCCACATAGGCCAAGAAACAATTACAAACAAGCTCAAGGTCTAAATCCAGCATTCACAGACAACGCTAAAGCTGATCATCCAATAAAAAGCTTTCTTGATATTATTTAAAAATCTGTTTTCTGCATGCATTAAAAGCAAAATAGAAAAACTCTTCAAAGTAATACATGTAGAAGAAAAAAGCATTTGATGTCTATGCTGTACATTATAACTTACAATCTAACTGTTGGAAGGTGCTGATAATATACTGACTTATCTTTGGAGGCTAAGCATGGTGGGTTTGTCATGCATGTTGTGCAAGAGATTAGACTATGGGGGTTACTAAAATCAAATAAGTAAAATGAGCTGGGGGGTTTCATGGCACTATTTTTACCTGCTGATGCAGTAGGAAAACCCAAGGAGTGGACTTTTGATTTCAGAGCAATGCATGTTTACATTTTTCCTCTTTTTGGGGCACATGTGGAAGTTTCATCCTCACAGTAGCAAAGGGAAATAGATCAAAAGGTCATTAAAACATCTAAATGGATTTTGGGAATATGACTACTGGTTTTTATGGAAATCTGCCAAGTGAAGATGTCATATAAACAACATATGTAACAAGACACAAGGTCACCAAATCAATTTAAGTCTTCCTATGAGTGCCTATGGAACATTTTAGGGTCAGCTTTGTGGTCCTTAGGGACTGAATAAAGCACTATACAAATGCAGGCCATTTACCATTTTAGGGTAATTCACCCGGTAGCTAGTTACTGACATTTTGCCTGGAACTGGAGCAACAAAGCTTCAAATTAGTTAGAAGGCACCATGGTTACAAGCAGTATGCAGCATGTCTCTGAACCGTTTTTGTTTAAAAAGTGGGACATAGAAAATCATATTTGTATAAATAAGTACTGAGATGTCTGTGTAAATGCTGAAAATTGGATTTGCGCATATGGATTGAGCGGTTGGATTTGCTCTTGCGTCATCAGTCATATAGGCATTTGTCAAAGCTCCCTTGGAAGTGCACAGAGGAAGTACAGTGCTTTTGGCGTCTGCATTCTTTGAAGATCAGAGCTCTGGAAACTATCATCACTTCCCTTTGTAAGCTTAGCGTGGACCTGTACACACTTGAAAGCACCCACAGAGAACTGAGACACACTTACCTCAACCTGGGATTTGAAATGTTGGACCAGTAGCTCAGAAATGACAAAAGCACAAGCTATCGCTCATTTCCACTGCTGTGATGCTGATAATGGAGCAGCCTAATTTTCATCAAAATGTACAGTCATCTGAGCCTGGCTAACAGTGTGTTCCACACATAACTCCATTCCACAGTACTGTCACCAAAATCACTTCACTCATCACTGATCTCCCGGTGGTTAGACTTGAGAATGCCATTGGCAAAGCTCATATGTGATGTGGTATTTAAGCCGTTTTACCATCTCTACCATTACTACTTCCTCTCGGTCTCATGAGTACGAACGGGCTGTCAATTGTCACACTTCATTTACTCTAATGCTTTCTGTGTCAATCACCATCACCAGGATTCACAGCATCAGCAAGCTGAAGCAGAAGCAGCAGAAGCCATTTGGAAAGCGCTCAGACTGGACGTTGACCAAATTCAGCCACTATCTAAAACATTAGTGCTATCACGTGCTATTGCAGTCTACACTCGAGTTTGCAATTTGTCACTATTGGTGAACTGATTCTCTTTGTTAGCTATTTTAATTATCTGCCACAAAATGTAAACAAGAAGTCCACTGTTGAGCCTGGGTCATTGCGTGGGGCTCTCAGAGAAGGTTCTTAAGCTGCACGTGTTCCTAAGCAGTTTTTGCAGTGTGGCATGGATGCTGTCATGCTAGTGGTCACTGATTTTGACAAGTGGTGTTGTAATGTTGTCATGGACCCGGCTCGGGAGGTCTCGGGGGTCCGTGAGCAGTAGGGATTGTTGTTATTATTATTATTTGGGGATGTGTGTTTTTCTGCACTATGCTTCTGTGTTCCACTTGTATGTGTGGGCAGGGTGTGGGTGTGTACATGTGTGGCTGGAGGACAGCCACATGCAGGCCTGATGGGTGTGGCCCTGCAGGAGGACTGGCCCTGCAGGAGGACTGGCCACACCTGAAGTTCCTGCCACACACCTGTTGGCTCGTCGGGGGAGCTACTTAGGAGAGTGTTGGAGCTCCCACCGGCGTGGGATCATTAAGCTAAGACTCCAAGTCAGTGTGTAGTATTTGGAAGTGCGGATCGTGTGTGTGTGCGCGCGGGTTCAGTGTTTAACGGCTGCTTCTGTTATTGTCCTGCAGGTGGAACGAGGGACCAGAAGGGCAGCACGCACAGGGTGTGCAGAAACACAACTGCCGGGAGCACGAGAACGGACGTCGGAGGGGAACACACACATGGGAGTCTAGGAAGCAAAGGGGATTTATTGTACATCTGCTACCTTCACTGTAAATAAAGTGCACATCGCAGAACAATGCGTTTTGGGTCCTCATTCCCCCATATCCCCACGGTCTGCCAGCCAGACCATGACAAATGTAGTGGTAACCTTTGGTAGCACACGTCAAATTAACATAAATGCCAGGCCCTAGCACAACATTGCATTTTAATGATGAGTGTCATTCACTTCGACTGTCAGCTGCCTCAGTGTGGAGACTAACCAGTGTAGGTTGAAGACAATTCCATTCGTATGGCTCAACCACTTGAAAACTGCCACTTTCTTTTTTGTTATGCTTTGTTTTTTTGTTCATTTTTACATCTGTTACACCTGCTAGCACACTCAGAGTCTTCCTATGTTAGCTGAAACAAGCAAGTGAAGTCTGTGTTTACAGTCTAATCCCTGTTATCGTGTTTGCTGCTTTCCCTGCCTCAGGCTTTCCATGTATATACATGAAAGGGCAGGAAGGTGTGTTTCCCTCTATGTTAGGCTTTTCTACAAGTATGCATGTAGAACGAAGGGGACGTCCAACAAAAGAACCAAATGCAAATTGTTGTAGATGAAAAACAGACTAACCTATATTAGTATATTCGAGTGTCTTTTACATAGACACTGCTATCTAGCTCAGAAGATTACACTGTTTGCCTTATAACTTGTGTAATATAATGTAAATGTACAAAAACATGCAAACAAATTCTTGTGGCCGCTAATTAACTCAAATGTGTGATCAGCTTGATCAGAGCAGGGGAATGTTTTGGAAATTATTAAAATAAGAAGTAAAGTTGCTGTTCATAGAAAACAAACACATAAACAAATATAAAACCAAACAAACCTGCCTGTTTTTTATGATTTGCACAGAGCTGCTCAGTATATAAATGCAAATTTGTTCTGAATCCTGAAAACATTTTTGTATCTTGATAAGACATAGCGTGCCAGCTTGTCCCTGTCAAACTGGCCACACTAGTGGTGCAGTCCTAGACTAAAATTATGAGGGACTCTTCCGTAGTTTGACTTTTAGACATCTGTACTTGTAGCATTATGTAAATCGAAGTGTGTTTATTCTGTGGTTACGAAAGCTAAACGGGCTGTAATATACATTTAAGTATGCGGCAGTATTTAAGTAAAATATGTCAGAAAAAAATATACAGTTTTAAAACATTATTTTGACATTAAAACAAAAAAAGGTAAAGCAGAAAGCTGAGCCTGTTTTCAATATGAAATATGAGCAATGAGTAAGATCTGTAAAGCAGCTATTACCTATTACCCCCTTCCCCCACTTCCAAATAGTTTTGCACTGCCTAACTTTAAGTAGAGTCTAATTTTAAACACATTGTAAACCTTCTAAAACTAATTATACACCATAAAAAAAAAGATCAATCTTAGGAGTCCTTTAATTTGTTTTCAATTTTTGTCTCATGCAGCCCTGCAAACACCGCTGTAGGGACAGCGTGTTCAAACTCTTGAGAGCTCTCAGCACCCTCCACAGGCTGGCTGTCTGATTGGCTCAGCACTGACCATGATGTCATCACTGCATGCTATAAGGGCTCTGACAAATAGCCTGGGAGACACATTAGAAGAAACACTGCTCAGCTGAGGGACTGAGTGAGTGAGACACACGCAGATCAAGTAAAGCAGAAAGTAGCTGGGACATGTGATACTCGCTGCTTTGTGGGAACTATCTGAACAGTGACATTTTACTTTGTATGGGAGCCAGGAAACACGACTGCAACCTGTGGAGGTTTGTACTTCTGCTTTTGTCTGGCTTGTTTAGCATGTTTTAAAGCTTGCCTGAAGCCAACTTGATATACTGTTTATGTATGTGGTTTTTGCGCAGTAAGCTTTGGTCTCCTTTTTCTTTTTTGTTAGTGCTAGATTTATGTGCATGCATTTTTTTTCATTTTCTTTTGTTGTAATTAGGCAGAATAAAAAAAACAAACTAACGGAATTTGTAAAATTCACTCCTTTTGTTTGTGTGTGTGTGTGTGTGTGTGTGTGTGTTTTGTTCATGTGTGTTCTCTTCAGATGGGAAATACAACCACCTCAGAGTACACCAATATGACTGCGATGAACTCGTCATCAAATTCAACTGGGACTGATGAAGGTTTCAGTGCCCCTGTAATGATCCTGCTGGGCATGGTCATGTCCTTATTAGTTTTGATTATTGTCTTTGGCAACATCCTGGTTATAACGGCAATTGCCCGCTTTCAGCGTCTCCAGAATGTCACCAACTGTTTCATCACATCGCTTGCCTGTGCCGACCTGGTCATGGGTCTGATTGTGATTCCTTTCGGTGCCTGTAAAATTATCTCTAGTACGTGGTACTTTGGTAATTTCTGGTGTGACTTCTGGACTGCCACTGATGTGCTCTGCGTGACTGCAAGCATTGAGACCCTGTGTGTCATCGCCATAGACCGTTATTTGGCTATTACTTCTCCCTTCCACTACCAGTCGATGTTGACCAAATGCAAAGCTCGCATTGTGGTGGTGCTGGTCTGGGTGATTGCTGCTCTGATATCTTACCTGCCCATCCACATGAAGTGGTGGACCGCTGATACTATTGAAGCTAGAAACTGTACGAACCAAACCAACTGCTGCGAATTCCACACCAACCAGGCTTATGCCATCACTTCCTCTATCATCTCCTTCTACATCCCTTTGGTCATCATGATTTTTGTCTACAGTCGAGTTTTCCAGGAGGCAAGGCGCCAACTGAAAAAGATAGACAAAAGCGTTGGACGTTTTCATAATAGCGACATCAGCAACAGTAATTCTCTGGAGGCCAATAATGGCCGTGGCCTTAAAAAGGCAAAGTTTTGCCTTCGGGAACACAAAGCTCTGAAGACTCTGGGCATCATCATGGGGACCTTTACTCTGTGCTGGCTGCCCTTCTTTGTGCTAAACGTGGTGGAGGCTATATGGGCTGTGAACAGCCCGATCACCTTTATGGTACTTAACTGGATAGGTTACGCAAACTCTGCCTTCAACCCACTTATTTACTGTCGGAGCCCTGAATTCTGGTATGCATTCAAGGAAATCCTGTGTATGAATAGGAACCGCCTCACCAACCCTGGACCTGTGAATGGATACATCTATAGCAGGCACAGCTGGCAGAGTGAGCAGCAGGGGAGGAGTAAAGGTAACTCAGAAGAGAGTGACCCCACTGAAGGGTTTCTGGGGAAAGGAGCAGGGACCCCAGTTGTGGACAGAGCAGTGGACCCCAACGGGAATTGCAGCAAAGACATAATGACTGTAACGAGTATAACAACTGTCCTATAAACTTGAAACACTGAGACTTCTGTCAACAAGGAAATCCAGATATGTTTACACTGCTATTGTAAACAGTTTTTTCAAATGACTGATGAAGGTAAGGCCAGTCAAAAATGACTGACAGTGTCTCTGGAGACTTTAAAGAAACAATAACTCAGCTGTTCAGCTGAGTAAAGTGTCACTTTTCCTCTTCAAACACAGTGACACAAAACTGTAGGTCTCTCACATTTCCCTTTTGTGTGCGTTCATTGCATTTTTTTTTTTTTTTTAATTTTCACATCTACCTCATCATACCTTTTCAATATTTGCATCTTAGCTGACCATCTGTCACATTAAGTCACTGTCCGCAGGAGTTAAAGTAGGGCAGCATCTCAGCAGTTTATTTACTCTACTAAATGGCCTGTGGATTGTATGACTGCTAATTGTCTGGCTTCAACTGAATTTGTAGCCATGTTGTTTATCTTTGATCTGGAGAGAGATCCCACAGTTTTTATTAGCATAAAATGTTTCAGAACTTCAAAGGAGAAGCAATCGGAGGTTGTAAATTTCATCCGAACATGCCAATTTGGCACAAAGAGCAAAGTAATCAGAGAACGATTGAGGGTGAAGGGTTAAACGTAATACCTCTTCGATGCTTTGCTTCAAGAAACACATTCCAAATTGACCGAGATTATAATCTGGCATGCTTTACTTTGCTCTTTTTTTTCCTTTAACGATTGGAAAATCGGAAAAATGATCAAAAGCAGGTGTGGCGAAACCTGTCTCAGTCATTCTGTCTCACTTCTCAGCAATGTTACGAGGTCCTGTTCCCTCCTATAGTGTTTTACAGTCTCTTGCATTTGAGTTTCCATTGCAGGGAGATAGCACTAGAGATATGATGGTTAATCTACAGTAATCTACGAGTTACTGATGAAACCTAGGTCAAAGTGAGGCTGGTCAAAACTTGCATGCCTGTATATGTTGTCTAAGCCAGATTCCGCTGTCAGGTCGAAGATATATGTACGTAATCTTTCAGTGCAAAGTGGATGCCATTACAGATAATGCGGTTAATCCTGAGTGTTGACCTTTGAAGCTTGCAGCTGTTATTAACATAAATTCAAAAGTGCACATTTTAAAGTTTGCTATTGCACAGTCAGAACCCATCACTTCTTGCATTCTGTTAAGTGGCCGACTTATGTGCTACATGTCACTCGGTGCAATATGGCCATTATGTAAGTGTAAGAAAAACTATTCATCTTTCCTTTTCCTTCTATGCAACAGTTACAGTAGCCCCCTTTGTTGCACAAGCCCTATTTATTTATTAAAATTTGTGGTTGCTCTGTTTCAGCATGTACACTGTTTACTGAAACCAGAGAAGCCATTTCCTTAGTCATGGCACAAGGGTACAAACCACACGTAATAATAAACACTTTGTCAAAATAGCCAAGCGATAACAAAGTTCCACACCCAAGATGTGGCGGTGGTGAATATTCAGGCTAATAAAGATAGATGAGAGGAAGAAAAAGAAAACAGCCCTTAGTAGTGCACTGTTGTCACAGCTCTCTCACAGGTGCCTCCGTTGTAAAATCAGTTGAAAATCAGAAAACCTTTGGAGAAGACACTCAGGAGTCCATAGAACAGTGCCTTAGCTGTTCCAGTTTCCGACATTAATTCTCTAATAAACAATGCAGGTTAGAATAAAATCCGAAGGGGCAATTTAACATGAGATCAGATAGTCATGGGAGCAAATTAGTTTTTTGCGACTTACAGTAAACGGTGTGCAAGATCATTAGTTTTAAGAGAAGTAATGAAGGTGCACCTACAGACAGAACCCCTTTCCCCAGTCAGTTTGGCAGTCTCTAGTATGTCTTGATCAGCATGCTAAATGTGGCAGAAGGGGGACCAGGGATTCTCTGCAAGTCTAAATCGGTGTTAGTGACCTGTGTTAAAGTGCATGTAGCATTGCCGGTGCAGGTCTGCTGATGCCGTAAAAACTGTGAACTTTGTTCTCTCAGAGGAATCTCCATGTACTGTATTTCTATGTCCGATCAGCACTGCTGCTGCTGCAGACCTTAGGAATAGACGTAAATATGGTATCCTCATACGTCACTGTTTGCCATGTGAAAAAACAAGCTTTCCAGGATGTCGAGCTCATTATCTGTTTTTCTTTTTAACAGATTTACAGCAAAGTAAATGCAGGGGTTGGGTGTCATAAGACATGTTGGTCTGCATTTTCCCAACATTTTCACTGTACAGTCTACGCAAAGCACAAAACGGTCAAAGACTCTAGACCATTTTCTGTGTTGCTTTTATTAAGATGCAAATAGCTGAGTTTAAAAGGTCTGCAGCTTAAATAAGTGTAATTTTAGGAGTAATGCACAAATGATCTCTTGCATGCCAGCTTCACATTTGTAGTGAGGTGTTTGTGGACTTCTGTGCCATTTCCTTTAAAAGTGATCAGTTTGAGCCCAAGTGCTGTAGATTGTGAACTATATATCCACACTGCTCTCTCCTGGCAGTGGCCTCTCCTTGCACCTCAGCTGTCTCAGAGTTACTCATGGTTACTGTTTCATCAATAAGGCTGTATAATAAGGGATGCATGACTTCACCTCCCGTTGTTGCTGGAGGACGCCACACTGTTATGTGCAATGAGTCCTGAATGAATAGCTGACAGTATAACATTCCAAGCAAAGCACAGCTGATGGTTTCTAACCACATACCTTGCCTACGGATGCTTGCAGTCCACATTTAGTTCTCCCACCACGGTCTTGCAGCAGATAAGCGAATTTAGTGTGGGTACACACAGAAAGAAATATATTTTTAAAACAGATTCAGGGTTACAGAGAAGTCTTAGAGGTTATGTTACAAAGTGACATGCACATTTCACACATATATTTTTTTGTACGGCAATCAATATCTTGGAGTTAAATATGATAGAAGTCTCGGTGGGGTAAAACCAGTGCTTTTCTAACAGAACCACAGTTGTTCAGATTGAATAAAAGTTTGCTCATGAGAACAACTTAGTCATGATTTTAATTAAACTATTCACCATCCTAAAAGCAGCACTGTATAGGACTTTCATTTACTTTCAAGAAGAATTTTTAGAGATTTCGAATAACCAAATAGACATTGGAGTTCATGAACTTTAAACAGTTCAATTGTACCATAATATTTTCATGGAAGTTCTTCTTCCTGTTCGCAGCTCAAAATAAAGACTGTAGCATCTCAGCACAGATGCTGTTCAGTGTGAAGCATTCAGAGAAACTGACATGTGTAAATGTGAATTTTTACAAATGTTAAATATTGCTTAAGCCGTCATATAAAAAAGTATGTGAAATACTTTTTTTTCTTTTTTTTTCCTCTCGTGGCCGGGATGAATAAGCTGTCACTCAGCTAACTAAATGTTTACTAAATGTTTGCAAGCTAACTTCGCACAAGTTCTTGTCACTGTTTGTTAAGGTATCGGAGGCTGTTACAATATGTGGTGTCTTGTGATATTTATTACAAAACAATGTATATATGTGATGTAACATTTGTATGGAAATAAATGATTTACATGTTGCACGTAATGTCCTCATGTGCATTTCCTTTATACACATTAAAATGCACACGTAAAGGATACGTCAGGCTCGAAGGCTTAACTGCAGTTAAGTCTATTTTAGTATGGGAAAACTATCAAAACGTGATCTGGAATGATGGACAGGAAGGACATCGGGATACAATTAAAATCTTTCCACTTTCCTTTTTAAACAGTGTGTCTGCCTAGTGCTCCAAGTAATCATACATTATACAGACCACCTAATTCTATTCCAGAAATCCAAGGGAGGAGGATAGAAGAAATATATAGAGCCATAAAAACGTCTCGATATTTGGCACTAAGCTGGAGTGGAGAGCATTTTTCATGTTTCTTTCAAGAATAAAATATGTTCGTTTGCAGAATGAAGATTAAAAACGTTAAGAGTAGTCATCATAGTTAGGAATGCAGTTTCATAGAAAAGGATTTTGCTCTGGAGATGTGATTACGCCTTTCATGCTGAGTAGAGAACACTGGGCACTGATTTACTATTTTAAGTATTTACTATTTTATGAACAGTTTTTTACATCATGCAAAACAGTAAAATGAGCCACTTTCAATAATGTCACATACTACAGTTTCTATAGGTATACTAAGAACGATAAAAAAAAAATGGTGACTAGCTTTGAAGCTTGATAAAATTTCTGCACACCCTAAGGAATATTCATTTTCAGGGTTAGAGGTTAAACTCCCCACGCAGACAGAACATCTACACTGTGGCCTTTTCTGCTCTGTGGAGGGTCCTGGACCAATGCCATATCAGAATCAGGGCTAACCCGGCAGATGCTTCTTATTTCAGGGTTTTAGACATCTACTGAAATTGAGGCACTGGGATGCACACATACATGAGTCTGTAAGATTAATATTGTGCCAACTTATGTGCCAAGCCACTCAAATAAGTCCTTCCATGGTAATATCCACAATCAAGCTTTACAGACTTTGATCCTTAAGAGCTAGATAAGAACGCCATTTTCCCATAGAGACCCACCATGTTGAGTCAGAGGGAAAAGAAAGTAGCATGGAGGGAAAACTCTGGAAAGAAAGAGTCTGTTTTGGGACAGGAAGAATATTTTCTCAGATATGTTAATCGTGTCAGGGATATACTGCATACAGGGTGTGACTATGTGAAAACATTGTCTTTGATAGATCGATATGTCCCCTGGCACCTTGGTGACTACAGTGACCGAGGCACCGCTATGTCTGCAGTTCCCCTTCTCCCAAGAGACCTGCTAGCATGTGTGTCTGTGTGAGTGCGTTCGTCTGTGTGTATTTGAGAACGTGTGGATGTTTGTGGACTCATAGGAACATCGCAAATTAAAGTTTGTCCCCCTCTGAAAAACTAGATCCACCTGACCTAAGGTTAAAAAAGCAAACGTGACCTTGAAAGATGTGTTTCACTCTGTTTAAAGGCCAAAGTAAATATAATAAAACACATCTTTTCAAAAATATTTTCTGTTTGGTAATTCTGTCATAACCAAAAATGATCTATGTTTATCCCATAAATGTTTTTAGTCATAACTGTGTCAAATTATTTATTTATTTATTTTTTTTATCTCCAGTGAGCAACAAAATGATCAGTGTATCATTTCTCTTCTCTAAAAAGGATTTACATCTCTACATTACAAGATATAAATGCCTCAGTTCTTGTGAAATTAACATAGCACCAGCAATGGACATATCATTTTTACAGCTTGCGGCTGCGCTCATGAGTTCAGACCAATCACTGCAAACCAAACTACTGGACAATAAGGTCACAGCTGATTGCATGCTTTAGGTGTGACAATTTAAAGAAAGAAAGGAGAACAAGGCCGGTCCAAGAAAAAGTTGGCAGTTCGTGAGAGCTCAGTGAAATGTTATCCCTGTGGATTTTTATCAGCGGGGTTGCTAACCGTCGACCTTCTGATGTGTGACATGCACGTTAACCTTTATTCTCACGTTCTCACTATGTCCAGAGAAGTCTCACAACAAATAGAGAGAAGGATCACAAGCAGAAAAAAAATCAAAACTGTTTTCTTTTCTTTTCTTTTTTTCTTTTTTTAAACATTGGGCCTTTTACCTCTTTCAGCACCAACACTTTGTCATAACCAGTGGAGAATGTAAAAAATACAGCTTATGGATTGTTTTGCAGGATGGACACAAATCTGTCTGTAAGAGGTTATTAGTTAGACTCACAAGTGTATATAACCTAACCCTAGTTTGACAAAATGTAAACAGGAGATCAAACATAGAGTTTCACACATTTAAGCACAGTAGCAGTGACATCACCAATTATTCACTTATTACTACTTATTATTTGTAACTATTAATATCACATAGTTGTCCAACATTGTAATTCTTGTGCTTTGAAAAAAGTGAAATGTGGTGTCTTGTTAAGTTTATTGCATTAAGTGTGTAACTGTGTTTATTTTAGACCTTCTAGTCCAGCTCAATATTTTACAAAGAAATACTATTTAAAAAAAAAAACACATGAGAACACTCAAATGCTGTAATCATTGAACAGAACACTAACGTGCAATTGATTCAAACTTTTTAGAAGCAGGATTTTTTTTGTCACTTAAAGGTGGTACAGTTAAGGCCATATGGCCACAGAATCAATTAATTGATACATACATTTATACATAAATTTCTTCAGGTCAGTGTGGAAGCCAGGAACTTTATTGGTTACAGAGTTTTGGCTTGTATTTGTCCATCTTGGAAGCGAGATCCCGAATGTATCATTACAGGCTGCCTGAAGCATTTTCATGTTTGTTTTACTGTAAGCAAATTTGTAGTGGAGTACCATCGGCTCTAAAAATGGCTATTTCAATATAATCTGCATGCAAACAGAATTTCCAGTCTAGCACATTTACTTTACTGCACATCATGAACATCATTCCTGTTGATTGCACATTTGCATAGTTTGATCAAACCCTAAGCAGCTGCTGCAAGTATAAGGAGAGGAAACGGCATCGTCGGCATACATCCAGTATTGTGCTTCTAGTTTTCCACCTATCGTGAGTTCCATCATCAATGGTATTTAAATTCATCTATCTTTATGGGCATACAATTGTTAATTGAAATAAAATGCCAGAAATTATTCATACAAATGGAAGCTTTCCATATTAAGTATACACAATGTTTGGAATACCTTGTATTTTTGTTTATTTAGTTACATACAAAAAGAAGTTTCAGCATTCAGAAATTAATAATTAAGCTAATGAAATGATGTTTTCAGCAACATAGAAAGCTAAATTTGGGCTAATACATGGTAATTAATTATTTAGAATATCATAGTGCTGACGGGACTTTAAGTTTCATTCATACAAATTTTACTGTGAGTAATTTTTAAGATATTATTAGGACAGAGCTGATATTATTGATGCAAAGGTTATTCTGATATCATTTATGGTTTATGAGCACTCTGAAACACATAAGCCAAAGAAGTACAACCGGTAGGTTGGGATAAACAATGCAAATTAATATGTGCTAATACACTCCCTCAGCGCATGCTATAAGCTTTCAGAGAGCTTGGTGCTCTTCTGTGAGTAGATATTAAACTATCCCTCCTTCTGCCCCACTCCCCATCTTTTTTTTCCTACTTCACGTACCTTAAATGATCATTTAAGATTTGTCTTTGACTGCGTTCAATCAATAAGCAACCACTTTTTGTGCTGACTGCTTTATTTCTGTTTTTTTATTTACTTTTTTTCATGTAAACTGCAAATGACAATAAGTAAGCTCCCGATATCATGTGTCTTACAGTCCAACAGAGGACTAAATCAACACTGCACTCGTGAATAATGTGCACGAGCAGCTCTTTTGAACAGACTTGGCTACAAACTGCGTACATCTGCTTGTGGTTTTCGTTGATGAAAAATACATTCTGTCTATGGTTTACAGAGGGTCAGGATTGTTTTTTTAACTGAGGGAATGGGTGGCCACATATAAAATATGTTGACTGCTTAAAGCAAGCAGGGAGTGTTGTGCTACTTAATTTCAAGTGTCAGGCTCTTGTTTCAAGTTTGATTAATGTTTTTCCTGTTGCTGATAGTACCTGGCCAAAAGGGATGCGGTAAAAAATTACCTTTTAAAATGTGCCTGACTTCCTGTCTTTTTCTTTCTCTGTTTCTTTCTTGCTTCCCTAATGGCTCAATTATCTGTTACTTGTTTCCAAGCAATCAATTTGACTGTGCTGTATTCTGTAAGCAACTACCTCTTTGTTGCTAACTTTGAAGTGTCTCCTTTACTGGCTATGCTGCAGTTCTTAAGGTAACCCATATGGAAAAGATATATATAAATCTTATAAAGTTTTTATCTGTCTTGTATGAAACTTGTATGAAAAGCATACAAGAGTGAAAACACATATAAGATCCCTTGAAAAATTATATAATGAAACTTGTATGTTTTGTATACTTACTAAAAACATATATGATTTACTCATGAAAGTGGCCACTTTCATGAGTAAATCATATATGTTTTTACTATTTCTTTTCCATATGGGAAGTGGCAGAGTGGTTGTGGTGTACGCTGAACTGACAGTCGTCAGCAATGTGAAAGCTTACATTTACCATGCATTTACCTTTGTGACTCTGTTGTATGACTGGCAGGCTGAACAACCTGTTTGAAAGCATGTCTGGAGAATTCACAGCTTTTAAATGGTACATAAGAAACAAAAACAAAGACAGGAAAGCAAATGTCGTACTACGTAGTGTTCTAAAGTGTAAAGTCACAGTCAGTCTTGCCAGGCTCGTCACAACTAGACTGTGTGATTGTCCCTCTGACACAACAGTATTCCCATAAGCATTCCCCAACTCATGAAACAAAGATGCTTGTCAGTTTGAACCCTAATATGGTGCTGCAGCCATGGATATGGTGTGATGCTGGTGAGCAGCTCTGGCTAACAAATGTTTCTAATGTCTGTGTGTTTACATGTTTGGCCCTATAGGCTCATGGTTAGTGTCCAGTGGTGAAGAAGTATGCAGTAGTACGCCATAACTGAGGGAGCACAGGATGTGAAATGGAAGCTATGAATTGTATTTAAAACACTTCTTGGGTCAGTAGTAAATAGTGCGACATAGGCAGTACATTCCGTCAGGCGCGTGTCAGCAGCTGTTACTTTATCAAGTAAATGGAAACACACCATGTTCTGTGCTGCGTACATTTCCCTGAAGTTCGTCACAGTGTAATGATATATCATTCAAGAAATATTCTACGAATGTTAAAAAGCCCTTTTTTTCCAGTGTTTTTTTAATCAAAGCAAACACAAATTAAGATTGAATGTGGATAAAATGGAAAATACAATAATTACCCTATTAATGTATTAGAGAAAGTGGACTAAAAATCGGTGGAAGAACTTCATTATATATGTACTTTATAACACCAGTTCAAATGCAATGATCTTGAAAAACCTGCTTACCCAGGCATTTTCCACTTCATATCTGGATCACGTCCAATAAGGAGAGACAGTTCCTGTCAACATGAACCTCTCCTAATAAAAATCTGTAGGGGCAGGGAGTGAAACCAGAGTAAATCCTGCCGGCCAAACTTTCATCACAAGCCTCTATAGTTATTCACCTCGACCTTATTGAGGGCACTGATAGCAGGGGAAATTCATCCTGCTCCAAACTTGTCTAAGGATGAGCAGTCAACCTTAGACAGTAACTTTGCTTAATATTATAGAGAGCACACGCTGTATATAATGGGACAAACTGAAAAATGATAGCCTTGTGTGTGCGCGTGTGTGTGTGTGCACGCGCGCATGACGTTAGAGGTGGGTGAAACAAACTCACTCATCTGTTACAACAGCGAAGGAGAAGGTAGCCAGACAAGAAGAGTTATCATCCTAAAGCAGAGGTGAGAGGTGGTCCAGAGAATGACATGGCATGGTAGAAAAGTTTGCAAGAGCGTGTGGATGTCCTAAACTGTACAGCAAAGTCACCTGCATCAGATGTTACCAACTGTAGTCATTTTTCTCTCTTCTCTTTTCTGTCACCACCCAGCTGCTGCAGTTGGGGGGTGACAATCGCTGAGCCTGGATCTGTGGTCTTTTCCTCTTAAAAGGGAGTTTTCCTCCGCACTATTACCAAGTGATTACCTATACCAGTCCCATCCCACTAATACTGCAGGATTTTTTACCTTAAAATGTCAAACATTATTGGATAATATTATCTGATAGTATTTAAAAGAAAATGATAATTTTCCATACTGGTCAGGCTGTAATGTAAAGTCCTTTCAGGCAGCTATTGTGAATTGGTGCTGTTTAAAACCTAAATGAGATTACTAGTAGGTTCAGCAGGCAATTATCACCTGATTTAATGATACGTGAATTCTTTATCACATGATATATAACAAGAACAAAGTGAATTAAAGACATGGAAATGGCTAGAATTCTGCAAATGACTGCATGGGCAAGACCTTTAATAGTTTAAGAATAATGTTTCGCAAAGTAAAATGATAAAGAATTAAGATACTGTATCATCTAGTGTACACATTAAAAGGTTCAAAGAATCAGGAAACATATCTGTATGGAAGGCTTAAAATCAACATTTTCCTCCAGCACAGAGGTCTTTGGAAGCGGTTGCGTGCACATGTGCGTGTCATCCTTCGATTGCTCAAAAGTTAATCATACAATGCATCTGACTTATTCTCAGTGCTTTTTCAGAACCTAGCATCTTCGTTAATATGAGGGTGCGCTGGGTTCACATGGCTTGGGTAAACAGACATCTGTCAACCTACAATCAATGATTTAAAAAAAATATGAGCAGGCTTTGGAGAAAACTAGACAGCTTATTTTTCAGGCAGACCCTCCCTTCTTTTCACCAGGACAACAACAAACCACATTCTGTACATGTTCCAACAGCATGTCTATGTAGTCAAAGAGTCTGGGTCCTAAACTGGCCTACTTTCAGTCCCATCTGTCATTCACCTAAAATATTTGTGCATTATTCAAAATACAACAAATATATGTAAAGCACTACGTGGGAGAAATATTTTTTTTATTTGACATGTTGTCTTATCAGTTATGTGTGTTGCATATTTAATACAGCGTTTAAAATATTCGCAACTTTTTTGCATGCTGTATTTATTTACAAAGCATCTCATTGTTTTTGGGAACAGGTTGTACTTCTTTATTATAAAAACTACTCGGATAAGTTTAGAAGGAGATAATGTGCTGCATCAAAGTTCTTACAGGACCTGGACAGGACAATGAGCCTATTATCTGTAGTGGAGCAGGCTACAACAACAGGTCTGTAAAATCAAATGGTAGCTTATTTGAATATGCTTTGAAGGTCATTTTCATTTTCAGGAAAAGGAGTTGTTGGGAGCCAAGATTGGTCAGTGGTCTAGGATGCTTGGGTGTGTGTGTGTGTGTGTGTTCTTCCTGAGAAACCTCAGGGCTGTACAGTAAAACGCTTCATTTCTGTAGCGCGCTGTTGAGGTTGAGAAAATTGACGAGCATTCTCTTTGCTGTTGCTCCTCACCTTTAGCGCTGCCTCAGGGCTTGGAATGTGTTGAAAACTGGGGCTTTCAGAAAGCAGCTGAAAGGGGGGGGGGGGCAGCTGTGCTGGAACCTGTCTGAATACTGTGAAAAATACCTAAACATGAGCTGGATAAATTCAAAACATAAGGTTTCTGATTTTTATAGACCTGTTCTCCAAGTGTTTTGATCACACCTCATTTGTGCTTTGCTAGACTCACAAAGTGAATGACGCTGGCTAGCTTTTGTTTGTTTTCGTAGTAGTTTATTGAACAAGAATCACGGCATCAAGCCATGTTCGTTATATTTGTATTTATCATAGTATGTTTTGTACACAGGACTTCTAGACACTGCTTATTTGTCTGCAGTTGGGTTTTTAATGATATTACAATATATAAGAATAATGACAAAAATAATGGCTAAAACTAATTATACATACTTAAACAATTATCACATGACAACGATCTTTATGGAGTGTGATGAGAGGACATATTGCAGGGCACACGGCACACAAAGGGAACAAATAGTAGCCTTTAATATGGCAAAAACTTTTAAAAAAGAGCAGTATCAACTAATAGGAAGAGCTTGAGATTGATGTGTAGACACCAAGGACTATACACAGGGACTGATTGGGGATAGGAAGCATGAGGGAAATGAGACACAAAGTAAAAACTGAAACAAGGTGCGAGAAAGGGGAACAACCAAAAACACACATATTGACTCCAGTCTCATGACCACTAAAACTAATATGATGACAAAGACAGGAGGAAGCAAAAGAGTGAGATGATGGGAGTCTGACGGGAAGACCAGAATACCAATTAAGTCAATACAAGAATCAGAAAGCAATACTATAAATAAAATATATACTGAAAGCAAAACTTATAAACTTATTATTGTTGTTGTATGCTTCAGTAACGTGTGTGTGTGTGTGTGTGTGTGTGTGTGTGTGTGTGTGTGTGTGTGTGTGTGTGTGTGTGTGTGTGAGTCGTAGAGAGTTGTGTGTCACAGGTGAGCAACATAAATATGCTGCATAGCTGAAATAGCTGTTGATTTCCTTGTTTATGCTATTGTGAGCGGTTACAGGACACTGACAGCGGACAGCAACATGGATTTCAACATTTTTATTTTAACTGTTATTTCTCAATCTGGGAATGTTATCTAGGGGCAGAAGGCTAGTGGGAATCACTTTAAGCAGGAGGCCGTAAGTAATTCATTAAATCTGATTTATGAAAGAGGCTATTCATGAAGTCACTTGTCATTATAAGCTGGTTAACATTAATTATCTGTTGCTAAAAGAAAATGCTTATAAGCCTTACATATATTGTTATATAGAGAGAGGTCATTTTTTACATACTGCTTTTATTTACAAAGCGTTTTTGGGAATAGGGTTGTACTTCTTTATTATAAAAACGACTCGGTTTAGAGGGAACATGCGCTGCATCAAAGTTCTTAGATAAAGCCTCTTGTGGTTTTCTTTTTTTGATCTGAATGAGCTCTTATAATTTCACATGAGTATTAGGTGGAGCATAGAGTGTAAACTTGTTAATTATAAGTCCCTAAAGATTGCTTGAATGTAACCCTGGGAATACTTAAAAAGGAAGAACAATTCAGTGCTTGTTTTGGCACAGCTGTTCTTGTTTTGAACTTGTGCTAAACTCATACTTGTGGGGGGAAGGAAGCCTTGCAATATTATTTACCATGCAGATTATGTATGCAAACATTTCTTCCTTTTCCTCGTTGTCCTGCAACAATCAAGTCGTTAGCCGTTTCTTTGTTTGCCCTTGTTTGAACTCTCTGATATTTGCCAGTGAAATGCAGGGTAGTTAATATGTTAGTGATCTAATCAGAGAAATCCAGAGCACAAAAGTCTCCACAAAAGTATGGCTACAGTCAAGCAGCACTATATGTACCTATAAAAAAATCACCCATTATTATTGTCTGTGTTAGTTCAAATCTTCCTTCTCACTGTTCATTTCAGGGCTCTGGGACATAAAGGTCATTACAGGACATTCACTGTATGTGAACTGAAGCCATAAATGTGACATAGAGGACACTTTACATTATGCTCCCCGTGGTTTGCTGTCATTACCAAGCAGATTGATGGAGATATTCTTTCTCCTCTTCTGTCCTATTCTACCTGTTGTAAGGCTGCTGATGAAAAAAAAAAAACTATCATGAAGTTAAGCATTGTCTTTCACTGCCCACCTCTGGCTGAAGACGGGAACACCATGCTGATAGTTTTTACTGTACAGCCAAATAGTAAATCAGTAAGAGAGTGCCCTCTTGTGGAGCTGTTTAAGAAGTGCCAAATTTACAAAAACCCTCCATTATTAAAAAAAAAAAAAAAGCTTTTATAAGTTATGATGTATATTTAAAAAAGAACTTTTGAAAGCAGAAATAGAAAAACAGAGATATCTGCTTGCTTAGACTCCTGCCTTTTTATAGTTCTCCAAATAATTTATTTTAGCCCAGAGAGCACTGTGGTCAGTGGAGAGGAGGTCAACCATAGTCACACTGCAAACTGAAGTCTACCTGGTCCCCTAATAATACTGTATAATTACAGCATGATTTTTTGCTTCCCTCTAAATGAGCTTAAGGTACAACAGAACTCTGTTACATAAAATATTAGTGCTTAGTTTTTGCTCAGTACTCATTGTCATATGATAAATATTTAGAGAGAGGAAAAAATGACACCAAAATCTGAAAATGATCAATCTGATTTGTCTTTGAAAATACGACCACACTTTCTTTTTATTTTTTTTCACATTTGGAATGAAAAGTTGTCGAATATTAAAAATAAACAAATAGTGGAAACACTTCTTCTCACATCTCATGGCCAATGTGATAACTTAGTAAAGTCTTAGCAGTCTCAAGTTGGCTAACGGTTCAGGCTTGTGTGAAAGATTGGCAGTGAAACATTTAACAAATGAAGAATATTGTTCAAAACTGCTACAGATTTCTGGATTTCATCATCTCAGGAGCACAATGTGATTAAAGGATTCAGAGAATATCAAAAAATCTTTGTATACTACCAGTAATCACGGCTAACCAATTGTGAATGGCTGAAATAGTGTCTTAGAACTCTAGAGCTTGGAGGAGGAAAACTCTTGTGACCTTATTATTGGATCACACTGTGGACCAGCACCATCCAGCCGGTCATCAGCTCATTTGAAGGAAGATTTACTGAAATACAGATACAGATCTGGTAAGTAGACTCCAGTGAAGCTCCATATCAGAGTGGAGTGAAACAATGTTAGGAAGTAGGAAGGTTCTCCTTGAGTCTAGATGTTGGTGGTGGTCAGGAGGAGATGGATTGGACAAATGAGAGTGTAACAGGCAGAATGACAGAAAAGCAGTGAGATTTAAAGGATGTGCAACAGAGGTGGGCAAGAAAATGAATATGATAACAACAGAACTGAGTTGTGCAGTAGTAGCTCAAACACAGATGGCAGATGAATGAACACAACTCGTCCTTATTGATCTTAGGCATGAGTTTCATGAGTGAAAGTGTGTTCATGCACATAGCATGGGTGACTTGCACATCTCTCAAAGTCTTTATATTGCTGAAGGACATATTCAGGTTTCTGAACAACATAGCATGCTGCCATTGGCGACCTCTTTTTAAGAGCACGCTTTCCTTATATCAGAAAGTCAATGCCAAACCACAAAAACAGTTGATGTACTAAAGTGGCCTGTCATCCACTAAAAAGACACTCTGGGAAGTACCAAACTACTTGAAATGAAGTCTCTTTTGTGGGTGTATTTTAGACTTCTGTTTCCTGTGATGTCCCTTGTGAAACAACATTTATTTGACTAGGCTTGATGTAATTAGTAAATATAGTATTTCCCAATCAGTGGATTCCAATAAGCTTGTAAAAGGACTGAAAAGACACTTTTCATTATGCTCACCCTGGATTTGTGGTTTCCAGGCATTTGGTGGAAAGTTTATTTCTATTGTGCTCTCTTTCTGCCGTCCCTGCATTTGTAATTCAGCTGGTACAGAACAGGTCACTTCCCAGCATTGGCAAAAATAAGCAATAATAAAAAAAAAAAATATCAGTATCAGGAAGGCTTTCACTGTAAATCGGATAGCTCAGGATTGATGTAAAGACAACTTTATTAGTGACTTTTAATATTTACTTTGAATTATTTTTTTTATTTGTGCTTCACCAAATGGAAACTTGTGCATTATATAAATAAATACTTGATTATGATCAGGTGCTTTATTTTTTAATTTGCTGACTAAAGTTTCAGCTGATTAATACAAAACCTATTCTTATATCATTTATATTATAACAAATATATGGACCTTTACAATTTAATGCACTCCGTTTTCTGGTCTTACTGACCATTCAGAGCACTTTGATTACAAATCACATTTAAGGGAAATTATACTGTACACAGCCTTCATTCACACCACATTCATTCTAATTCAGAATGATAATCACTGGTTAGCCTAACATCCATGTCTCTGGACTAAAAATGTCAATGAAATATGGATGAGTTTCATGCATCCATTCCTTTTATCCATCCAGAAAGACACACAGGCACAGGGAGAACATACAAACCACGCAGAAAGGCAAAATAGGAGCTTTCTTGTTGACAAGGTGACAAGGCACTGTTGACGAGTATCAATGGCTTTTGCACAGCTGAACTCTCAAATGTGCATTCATCTTTGTTATGATGGCTTTATGCAGCCTAACCAGATGACGTTATCCATCTGCTTCTTCTGCTTATGGATGTTCTTGCTTACAGTCTGAATCCATTCTTCACCTTCTTAGTCACCCGAGGAAGATATTCTCTTTTCCTTTTATGTCGCATTAATGCGACATACAGTTCTTGCCTCCGGCTCAGGAGGCAGAGCAGCTCACCCGCTAATTGGAAGGTTGGTGGTTCGATCCCTGGCTGCTCCAGTCTACATGCCAAAGTATCATTGGGCAAGATACTGAACCTCAAGTTGCTCTAGATGCGTTCATAGGAATGTCATTGTTAGATAGACATGTTGCATAAAGTGCTTTGAGTGCTCCAGCAGAAAACCGCTATATTAGAACCAGTTCTTTAACCATCTACTACTCCCACAGGTTTAAATTAAAACGTTTTTTAAGACCACAGTTTTCAAAGACACACTACTCTGTCGAAAAGCATTTGTGGCCAAGATCCCTCCTGAAACGGTGAGGTCACTTGGATCCATTCCTCCTGCCATCATTGCTAAATCTGAATCAAACTGGCCTGCTCGAGACTTTTAACTGATCAAGTGAGCTGCTGTGAACATGCTCTTTGCCATCTAAGAGCACTTCATGGTTGTCAAAAAACAGAAACTTACTTGAGCACTGTGACATAAACCCAATGAAGACAACATTATGGTAAACAAATGCACCATTTTCTCTTTCATTCCTTCTTTTGCATTTCCATTATAACAATAAACACAACAGGAATAAGGTCAATTTCAACACAGGGAGCATCAGAACCTTCATATTTTCACAATTTCCTCACCAAATTGTGCCTAGTCTGCATCAGTTTATGGTGGTCTTTCTATCAACCAAAACACAAATAAGAAACAAAGCCACAGGGACAAAACATACTGGAATACACTGCAGGGAAGCTGCAGAGCATTCGGGATCACTTTCTCACACTATTTACTCTTCTGTCCTCTTTTTGCCTGGTTTCAGGCATGAAATCTCACCTGGAACATTGTGATTTCTTTCTGACATCATTAAGGAAAGTAAGCTGCTGAATAACGCACGTGTCACCTGTATGCAAATTATTTTTATCTAACCTTGTATTTAAATAACTCAGACATACTTCTGCTTATGTTTAAAACTTCCTCTACATTTACAGCATATCACACTTAACTTTGTTTTGAAATGGTTTCTAGGAAACCTAACTATATATATGTATGCATATACTGGAATGGGTGGCACTGCTCATGAAATGCTACCACAAAGAATCATTAATACTACCAACCATTATAGCAGTAACGGCTGGTAGTATAAATGAGCAGTAATTATTATTCGTGTTTTATATCTGTTCTTCCTTATGGAAACATGCACATACTCTGCATATTCCTCTCTTATTTGATTGGGCAACCACATAAAAATCAACACTCAGCAAAGAAAATAACACTTTTTTTTTATGTTTGTGTCATATCTTCCAGAGATACAAAAATGTACAAAACATATATTGCAAGCACAGTGCCCTGTGATTGCATAAGACAGAATGCACATGCTCTAAATCAGCGAATTGTCACATAGATTTACAGTATTGGGTTTGTGCCCTGTGGCTTTTTCCCTGCCAAGACACATGTGACCTGATGAAGCAAAAGCCGGCAAGATCCGTAAAGGGAGAAAGACTATGTGCCTCCGTCAGCCTGTTAACTGTGAGCGCCACCAGTCTCACAACCATTTCTCTCTTTGCCCTCTCTTAGAGCTTCATCATTGTTTATAACAACACGCTGGTCAGTACCAGGCTCTGTTTGAGCTGGAGTCTCATTAGTGAGGGTGTTTTCGTCATCCTGAGTATCAGAATCAGCGTCTTTGGACTGTGCGTCTCCTGTGACATCACTTGTGCGATTAACAGGTATTTGAGTGGGAATGTTATGTTCAGGTGGCTTCAGGTGAGTTTGTAGAGTGTCAGTAGAGCTGCTGGAGTCTGACATGTCCTCCTTGGCTGTATCGAAGGACTCCGTGAAAATGCTTTCACTGTACGACTGACTGGCGATGGTATCTGTCTCAGAGCCAGACACATCCACTGAGTCAGGAAGATAGTTATGGTGGGTTTTCCCATTAGCACCTAATCTAAGATTAGCGTCTGTGCATCTGTTGTCTGATTTCACGTGCATCCTACGAGTTCTTGGAGCCAAGTCATCTTCATTCGTCACACTTTCAGGTATAGAATAAAAAGAGGAGCTCGACTTAACCAAATTTTCTGTATATCCCACGTCAGCATCCAAGTTCTTTTCCATATTTTGGACAGCCTCTCTATCTGCATCATCTTTGTTTTCCTGTCCAACAGCAGTGCCTTCCAATCCAGCCAAAACTCTCTTCAGACTCTGGGCTCTGTCTCTGTAAACTTGGCACAGCTCAGCATCGGGCATGTGGTTGCCATGGATCTCGGCCAGCTTCATGTACACCACATACAGAGCCTCAGGGTTAGCTTGGTCCTCAAGTGCTGCTGCCAGAGCCAGCTGGAAGTAGCCCACTGCATCAAAAGCATCCTGTAGAGCGAGCACGCAGAACAGAGGTCAGAGCTGGTCTCGTCAGAATCAAACACATAATTTCCACATTTGAAGGTTACATCGCCACAAGATGAACCTGAAAGCGATACTGTTTCTCAGCCAATGATTAAAACATGAGCAGGTCATTTTGACGTATAGAAAGATAAAGCTTACATTTGCCATCAGCTTTGGACAGTGAAATCGATCATCGCCAACAGAAGAAGTAATTTCTCGAAAGTTAATTTTAAAAGAAGAAAAACAAGAAGATTTTTAATACTGCCACTAAATCATTGGTTAAAGTGTAAAACAAATTACAGTGTGAGCGTGTGTGTTTCTCTTAACAGAGTAATATTAAATACGCCTGAGTCAGAACGCACTCTTATTATATTTTCCTTTCTGGGATGATTTTTTCCATTTCTTTCTGAGAACGCTGACTTCAGCGAGATGAGGGAGAAAAAAAAAAGGGGCGGTGCGGTCGCTTCCCCACACCGGATCATTTTAGGAATGTGCTCTCTCTATCTTTCCCAATGCAACACTGTAACTGTGTCCCTTGTACCTTGAGTTTGTGTAGAGTGAAGTTTCCCAGCCTGCAGTAGACCTTGGTGTAGTAGCGAGCCTCCATGGGGTGCTGTAGGACAGGCGGACTCAGTGACAGCGACTTCAGGTAGTAGTTTTCTGCCATCTCATACTGCTCCAGACTGTAGTAAATTGTAGCTAATCGATGGTAAGCACTCCTCTCATTCACACTCACTCCTAAAGCAAAAAAAAAGTCAATGTTTTTTTATAAAGTATCTTGCCAAGTACAAATACAACACTGTACCTGGATTGAGAGGATTATTACAGACATGAGGCTCAGGCACGGCTCAACTTTGTACCTGTTTTGCTGGCGACCTGGACAGCCAGTGTTGCATACTGCAGAGCCTCCTCGTGCTCCTTTTCATTCATCAGCAGGTCTGTGAGTTTACTTAACAATCGAAACTCTGAGTGGATGTCATCGATGCTCCTCGCAAACGGCAGACTCCCATCCTGAAAGCAAATATAAGTAATTTTACTGAGAATCCAAACTTTCTACAGTTTGTTACTGAAAAAAACAAAAAAACCCAAAACAGTACACTTGAAGTATCCTTTTACCCTGTAGAACGGCAGTGAAGCCATCCGGTTCCTGTGACCTTTAAAGTAAACATCTCCTGCCTCCTCATAGATGCTCATGGCAAAGTGAGGGTCATTCATCCTTAAGGCTGTCTTTACTGCTGCCTGAAAAACAAACAAGCAAACAAAACAAATACGACAAGACACAAGTAATCAAATGTTGTCATTTGATCTTATTTTATACTTCATAAGTAAAAACATTAACTGCTTAGTAAGGGAACCGTTTGCTGCTCAGGAATGTGGAATATCGACATTCCAGGAATACCAGATTTATGAAACAACAAAAGGCACTGAAAGGAAAAAGTTCCCTCTACTACTGTACACACACCAACACTCCTCACCTGTAAATACATGTCAGCCAACTCATCCTCATAAACGAGATAATAAATGCGTCCGACCTGTAGCCAGGTCTCAGACTCTTCCTCTTTCTTTCCCAGATCGATAGAAATTCTCAAGCTTTGTTTGGTGTAGTCGAGAGATTTACGAGATGACCTGCACAGAATGCACGATTAAAAACCATAAAATCTAAGACACAAATGTTAGGTTACAGATAGAGACAGAATCATAGAAATGAGACGCAAATCTTCACCTCTCATCGTTGAGTGTGAGGTAGAGGCTACTGAGCTTTTCCAGATACTCCCCCTCCAGTCTCTTATCCTTCAGTTCTCTGGACACTGACACACAGTGCTCATAGTAGACAATGCTCTGACCATAAAGCAGCATGTCAGCATACAGTCGGCTCAGCACCTTGGCCACCACCATCTGACCTATGAAAAATTCAGATCAACATAACCAGCTAATCATACTGGTCATATCTTGATTCCATTTTTATATTCTATTTATAGTTACGTAATACATGTGGGCTTAATGGACAGACTACCTGCTTGAATTTTAATACAAAGTCCTCTGTTTACATGCAGTTTGTAGTTAGTGTGCACGAATACATGAACCTAAATGCATGCTTGAAGGTGCCATTTTCAGTGGAGGTACATTACAGCAAGTTTCATGGATGAACTTGTACTTACTGTGTAGGTTTTTGGCATGTAGTGCAATTAGTAACCCAATTTCATAGCATGCCCTGATGTCCTGACTCCGCCCCCTGTCTTTGTAGCTACGCCCCAGCCACAGGTAGGTTTGAACGTGCTCCTCATCTGTCGGGCTTTCCCAGAGATCCCAAAAAAGGCACATGGATCTAAAATAAAGAGAAAATAAGATTATATCAAAACTAAATAATCCTATAGACGCTAGATTTGTTTGATCTGTCAAAACTTAACTGTGGCAGATTTATCAAAAAATGTCAAAGATCTGACCTGACCAGGAAGCGTTCTGCAATCAAAGACGCCCCCGCGTCCAGTGCCAGACACCCCAGGTTGGCAAGTGCCAGGGCCTGATTCCTTTGGTTTCCATTTTCTCTGGAGATTACCAAGGCAGAGTGGAGGTGCCATCCTGCCTCTGGGATGCGACCCTGACGCCTCAGACACAAAGCCAGCAGGTTATGGATCACACCTCGCTGAGTGGGACTGTCTGTTCCCTGCAGAAAGATGCGAAGGCACGTATTACCCATGACATTCATGTTTGTTTAGACATTATTCACTGCGAGTGTGTCATTCTTCACCAGTTCATCACTGGTCACTGTACCTGTAGTGATGTGAGCAGTGGTTGTAGAACACTCTGGGCCTTCTCAGCCTGGCCTGTCAACACCAGCAACCACCCAAGCAACACAGATGCCTCAAATCCCTCCTCCTCATTGATGTGGCCTCCTTTCTCCACAGCTCGTTGAGCACAGTGCAGTGCTTTATCAAGAGCGCCGTACTGCTGGTAAACTGAGGCCAAGCCCAAACACAGGTCCCTTTGGATCTTCATGTCATCCCCGCGCTCGGCTATTGCCAGAGTCTGCTGCAGGTAAACTACGATCTGAGCAGGGAGCAGTGAGGTTCCTTCCTTCCAGCAGGGGTTCAAACGAACAGAGTTCCTGATAAATAATTCAATCCTCTGAAAGACATTGTGGAGAGAGTGGTCCTGTCTCGAATCCAGGCTCAGCGAGGCAAGTGCTAAGTAAGGCATGTATTTGCAGTGATAGAGCCAACTGAGGAGCCAGTTGAGATCCAAAGGAGCTATCGGTTGCCCGTCGGCGGCAGACAGAGTCAGTGAAAGAAACTGGAGCCGCTCGACAAAAGGAAGAGCGTCATCGCTCTTCTTGAGTAGCAGGAAGAGGGTGGACATGAGGTAGCAGATACGAGCCTCCAGGTGCTTGTCCACCATCACCACCGATCTCCTCAGGAGCACCTTGAGCAGTTCGACTTCATCGGTCGATGTGAAGGAACGACAGGGGAGGCATAGGAGCAGGGCGCTGGCCTTCTCCAGAGTCTGGGGCAGCTTGTCAGTCATGCGTTGCTTCAGGTAAATAGCAGTGAGGTTTGTGAAGAGGGCAACGAGGAGCTGAACGTCAGAGAAGCTGTCGACACTGACGCTCAGAGCTTCCTCGTAGTATACACGTGCCTGGGGAGAAAAGATTGTAGACTGGTGTAGATCGAAAACAAATATGTTCCGCCAAGTAAAACTGCAGCAAAATTTGGTGTTTCAAACCTATTTTCATTTAAAACATGCGACAAATAATTTGTGCACTTCATTTTATCTCTCTCCACACTGCAAAAAGCATCATTATTATTATTACAATATTATGTAAATGGTAATGTGCTCTATAGTGTGGTGTCTTGTTACAGGCTAACTTGCCTTGAAATCTCTGTTTAGAAAACACTAAAGTATGTAATCATACAACCTACAAAGCACACTTATGGTAAATGCAAATGAAAAAAAAACAAAAAAACAAAAACATGCCTGTGAGAACTTTAGCTTCCTGGCACATAGTCTCCCCAGGAGAAAGCATGCCCGCCGATGCGCCCAGTGCATTCCCATTCTCTTGGCACACTCTCTGACACTCTCAAGGTGACCTGACAGCTCGTCCTCAGTCTTGCCGCTGAAAGTCACCCACAGGAAGGAATACTGCAGGTCATATAGGGGCAAGAAAGCATCCTGGGGGTAAAAAACAACAAACAAAGGGTTTTAGAGTTATTTTAGGCATTAACCGAGTTAACAGGAGGGCAAATGTCCTAATGAAAGTCAGACACAGGAAGCTCAACATGGATAAGAAAGAAAGACTTGAGTAATGTAATAAATGAGGCAGACCTGGAAGTGTTCCTGGTTGAGTAGAGTCAGTGTAGGGTCACTGCTCTCTGACTCCTCCCCATCCCAGCTGTTCTCTTCCAAGAAAAGAGGAGGATCTTCCTGGAACTCGTCCAGTTCTCTGAATGTGTCATCCAGGGTGAAGGATAGGCGCTCTCCCTCTCGTGGCAGAGGGTTGAGAGAGTGACAGAGGGACAGATGAGGAGAGGAGCGAGAGAGCGATTGGCGAGGGGACGACTGGTGGGTGGGTGTGACTCCACTTCTCTCTGACATGATGCTTTGACGAGCGCTCGTAAGGCCTTTAAGATCTGTAAAGACGACAGGTATAATCATAAATCCTTTCTCAAGCTGCTCAAAGGCATCAGCATCGTAAACGTCAGGTTTCTTCTTAAAAAGTCATTACCATGTTTTGGCCGACTCCTAATGTACATGAAGTCGGTTTCATCCAGCCTATCTGGAAACACACAAGGTAAATCAATTCAGCATTGATTTTCCAGCTGGAAGCACAGATGGAAACTATCTTTCCCAGAATAAATTACAAATACCGCCGCTATTTAGGAAACAAACATGACTTGTATTTCACTTATGCCTCGATGACACGATCCCTCCCTTTTCCCCTAGCTAATTAAAAGTGCAACATTTCTCAGCGAGCCCAGTCATTCCTTTACCTAGCCTGTAAACGGAGCTGATGTCAGTCGAGAAAAGCCTTTCCAGCAGGCCGCTGTCGCTCAGCTCAGAACTGCAAGGGTTAACCTGAGCAAGGCTGGCTTTCTCCTCCTCGGTTAGAAAGACCAATTGTCCATCTCTGTGTAACGGAAACAAAGGCAGCATTATGATTATCCAGGCCTCATCACCTGATCCGCCCTGTCCAGACTGTGAATCCTCGAAATAGGATTTCATAAAAGATTAGCAGAAGACTGTAAACAAGACATAAGGAATGTAGATGGTATCGCGATAAAGTGATTTTCAGGTGAAGCGTCACATGTTACAATGAGACCAGCTAGTTTAAGCCACTGCCTGGATTTACAAAAAAATAAATAAAAAGGCTTTCTTACAAGGGTGCAGTATTGAGAGGCTTGACGTGAGCTATTTGAACAAAGCCGCGGCATCCAGTTGAAGTGTGTCGTCCTATGAAAACACCCAGGCTTCGGAGCAACAGACCCTGGATCTCCACAACGTCACCTTGGCTGAGCGGGAGCTCATCTGGTCCCACTGGGCTGTAGTCAGCTACTGCCACACAGGAGCCAGTCACTGAGGCATTTAATGAGGTGAAGGGCAAAAGAAACAACACTTTTAAGCACACTGATTAGGAATTTGAGGGTATATCAGTTAGTTACGCAGTTACATTTCAACAGGCACTGTGGTTACAGTATGCTGTATGTGATAGCAAAGCTTTACCGATAGGATGCTCAAATGGTTCCCTTTCTGTTTGTGAGCATCCAGCATAGACTGGGTACTTCTTCAGGAACCACCTGACCAAACAGGAAGTATAATTTAACAAATACTGTACTCCACATAGGTGAAGTGGTCAATTTGAGGAACAGATAGCAACTTACTGATAGAACGGGTAGGGCAGGGGCTGCATGGCAGTGACTGGCACCATGCCGTGGTTTCCAGTGGTGAGCAAGGTGCCCTCCCACATGTCATCCTGCCCCGTGTCCCTCACCACCAAGAGGTCATTCTTTTGGAACGACAGCTGCTCCTCATCCTCGTCATTGTCGGCTCTGGTGAACAGCGCCTTAGCAAAGCAGGATCCTGGAAGGAGACTGATTTTTAGTAGAGAGAATCAACTTCGCTATTCCCCCACCCGAAACACAAAGAAACACAAAACCCATCTTTAGTCATTGCTTATGATGCTGGTAAACGTTACTGCACTTAAGTTCAAAATCAGCAAAATTGCCAGAGTTGCCGCGCCCTCATTCAGTCACTGGGAAAAGATGGATGTTTTATAACCTGGCCCATTAAGTTAATGTAATTTTCACCACTATTTGCCAGCATTGCAGTCCTATTATGCATTCCTATGATGCATTTTGCCTGAAGGATATGTTCAAGAGAAAGAAGGGATGTCTGTGCCGCCCCGGCAGGAGGGAATCGATACACATTCATGGAGGAGAACAGCACAGTAAGTTGTACTTCATGTCGTTGTCTAATGCATTCAAACAGCAGATCAAAGTTGGGATTTTGGTTTAACAGTAACTCTATAAACCTGATATGAATAAAAGTGTGATTATAATGTTGACTTGATTAAAAGTGTATCGTAGTTTCTAAATTAGTTTCCGCACAGCACAAAAGTGCTTCCACTACATATGAGGCGGGTCTGTTCTACAATTTTACTTAAGCTATGTGAGGCAATCTGTTCATTCAAGTCTTAATTGGGGTCACAAAGAAATGGATTAAAAATAATGGGATCAAATCACAGTGAACTCAGTTAACATCCTATAATTAACTACTTAAGTTCAAGATTACTCTGACAATGACTCATTTGACTTTATCTTTCTTTTTTAAATCTCATTATGAATCAATAGATTAACATTTTGAAATACAGGCAGCAGCTTTAGAGTCTAAAGTATAGACTTCGGATCACTGATTTACTGACAGGATCTCATTTCTATTTACAGATGCTTAACCTTTTCCCTCCACCTGTTATCCCTGTGCAATGCCAGGCCTGATAAAACAAACCCTTACATTTCAGTGACATGAATTACTGCGCTTACAACACTACTGACCTTCCTGGAGTAAAAGTCCAAGGTACAGTGTGGCCAGATGTTCCTCATCCACCGTCACACTGATCTGCAAGTCATTGAGCAGCTCTGGGTCCAGCCAGAATGACGGATCGCAGAGGAAGTTTTCCAAGCAACGAGCCACATAGCCTGGGCAAGAGCACATGCAGCACCAGATGAAATACTACTGCTTATACTCATGCCAACCAGTACTATTACTGTGATGATGGCACAACAAAGACGAAAAAGAGAGAATACAGACATTGAAATGTCATCCAGAAGGTTGCTTATTAGTCCTACCTAGTGCAAGGTATGTTGAAAACTTCCAGATTTCCTCTACAGTTTTGAATGTGAGTACAAAGCTATCCTTCTCAGCGTGGACAGAGACCAGACGTGCAGACAAGTCCTGCAGAAACAAAGTCTCACGTTACAGTAAAAAGTCATTAAGCCATCTCTATAAAGTGCACATTACATGTACAGTATATAATACTGCGTAATATGAACTCATTATATGGTAAAAACATACTACTTTTTCATTATTATATCAGACAGTTTAGAAGTGTAGGAAAGCTTGTGTGTCGTCTTCATCATAGGGACTCACTTTGAAGAGCTGTATGACGTCCTGGCTGTTGCTCTCCACCACTCGGAGTCGTGTGCGTAGCGCCTCCTGCAGGGTCCGGTCAGAATCTGCACTGGAACGCCGTCGTCCGGTGAACAGTAGCACGATTTCTAGCAAGAGGACAAAATGCGCTCTGGGGTTATCAACACTGAGTTTAAATTGGTTATAGCAGTGAAATATGAGGAATATAAAGAATTAGCCTTTTCTACTTCACTTATATTGTACTCAAAGTGCTTTATTCACGCACATTCGCATTGTGATGAATGCACTGGAACACTTAAGGTTCAGTATCTTGCCCAAAAATACTTTACAGCACAGATTGGAGCAGCCAGGAATCAAACCACCAACCTTCCAGTTAGTACATCGCCCACTCTACCTGAGCTACAGCTAACCAGGAATAAATATGGAGGGCATTTTAAATCCTTTTGTTCCACTATTCAGAGTATCTCCAAAAAAGTAAAACATAAAACCGAAACCGGAATAAAAACACATCATTTTCATAAAAAAAAAAAAAGCAAGATTTTGTCAAATATTTTCTTTGAGAGCTTATATTTCAGGAAGATGCTTTGTGAGCACAATGTGATTCCTCAGAGGAATAACAAAGCTATTAGGCCTTTTACTGGACACTCAGTGTGGCCATTTAAATCCATTTGAGAGGAAGAACCTGAGGGAAAATGATGGATGAAGTTAAAATGCTGAGTGAGTAAAACATTAGCAGACGGGGAATGTTGTTCATCAGTATGCATAAATATAATATGCATGGGAAACGATCCTGTGTATGAAATTAGTTTAGCAAAGCTTATACGAAAGCAGGTTTTCCAGTAATAAGGCAAAACAATCCAGGCAAATAATTCGAGTAAAAGCGCCACAAAGTGTACCTGAAGAGAATTTGTCTCCAAGTGACACGGTACTTCCTCTAAGGAAGGCCTCCTTCCTCTTCTTCCAGTAACTGTCAGGCTCCACCGTACCTTCACCTGATATTACTATTGCAACATCCTCCTCTTCACCAGCACCTGAAAGAGGAAATAAAGTCATGAAACAGTTCCTGAATCTTAGATCTTAAAATTTAAACAAGAAGAAAATGAGGAGAGGAAACTCAGCGTACTTTTGGTTAAGGCAGTGTTTCCTAAACAGCATTTCACATTTGAGGTGTAATCGAGACGTGGATGTTGTATGTGGAAACTATTTTATCAAAACAGACAACACAAGGGCTTTAAGAGTAGATTGCTACTGCAATGCATGTTCCAGACTGGCATGGAGATTAAACTGGGAATGTTACCAGATGACACAAGATAGCAATCGCTCTTTGCTATTTACAAAAACAACACACTGCAGTCTGTATTTGAACAGGATGAACTCATGAATTTAAAAGTAGTTTCTAGACTTTCTTTCTAATATATCCACAAAAATCCACAGTAGTCCGTCAACTGACACCACCCATCCTATCTTCCAGAGCCGGATGTTGTAAGAAGTGTTTGTTTGTCAAGTTTTTCATTTTATGCTCAGTTTAAACTCATTTGCTACATACTTTAGTAGATTACAGCTTTAGACATATCACCAATTACTCTAGCACTTTTTCTGTGCCAGCCATTTAATTAAGTAAACAGGATCTTAATCATTTCTAAACCTGCAGCAAGCTGAATGGACACGCTTTTTTTTTTCCTCAGGAAAGTTGATACGGGCTGTCCCTGGTTTGTTCCATTGTGCAGGGAGGATATCCCAAACACTTCCTCTGCTTGAACACGGCGCAAGCAGCACCGCTCCTTCTCACATGAATGCTGATGACTTATTTGTACTCTAAACGAATCGGGCACTTAATAATGTTATGATTTCAAACTGATTCCAAACATCCGGCTGTTTGGTGCAACATAGCTAACACACCTTGAGTCATGATGTCATTTCCTGGGAAGTGTTCATTAGCTCCACCGAGAGTATATGGCGGTTCCCTCCATAGAGCATCCAGTTCGGCAGGAGAGATGTCTGGAAAAAGAAAAGCAATGACAATACTGAAAAAATTGAATTGTGTCTATGATCCTAAGCAATACAGAGTTAAATATCACAACAGTAATAGTCTAAAAATTTGGGGATACATGCATAATGTACTTTCTTTGATCCACCACTCCTGCATCTACTGGTTAATACAAAGCTACAGCCAGCAGTCACTTAGCAATTAGCTAACCTATCTTTAAAAAAAATAAATAAATCAAACAAATGTTGCTTATCAGTACCCCAAATCTCATTACGATCCTCATTAATCACCTTTTTGAATACTTATAAGGTAGACCATTTCCTGGCAGGAAGTGTTAAAAAGTAACCAGCAAAGAATCCAGGAAGTTATTTCATTCATATCAAGGTTCATTAAGGAGGGTTTGCAAACTCAACAAAACAAAAAGATATGAGTTGAGTTTAATATTTGCTTTTAGTCCTTTAATATATTTTTAGTCTTTAAGTCAAGATCCTCCTGGGTGTAGCTTTACCTTACAGATGGAAGAGAAGGATCTTCTGTTTTTTTTAAACAAATATGTTTCTGGGTGGGGAGAGTGCTGACATCACTTAGGGAGACGGAGGCATACTTGAGCTTTTTCGTTAGTTTGAGGAGTTGTTAAGGGTATACACGGACGTTAAACACACACAGGCCGAGCACGGACACACAACTGCACTGACATCATTAAGACCTCCAGGCTTACTCATACACACACACTCAGCTGCTCTGCCCCTGACTCCTCAGAGCACACATTTATGTCACCGTGGTCACAACATCAGACGCGATTTAAATTTTAAAAAGGAAAAAAAAAACTGTAATAATTCCGATTAGAATTCCACTTTTTACATGTGTTGTCAGTGCAGAACCACAAAAGAACATCATTATCTTGATGCAAAGCATTCACAAAACAATGGGAGCACACAATTTAGTAACACAGTATGCAACATGACATTATGCCTAAGAGGACAAAAGCCTATTCTTTCCATTCTACAACACGGAGGACAGTTAGCACCACTGGGACTGCTTGAGTCAACACAAGCAAAGTCATGCAGTCACAGTGCAGAAACACACCATGCCTCCCCCCTTTTTATTTTTTATTTTTTTTACCTTCTTGGCTAAGTGTATTACCCATGTTGTATACTGATTACTGCTCCTGCCTATATGACTGTAGCAGTTGCTCATGGCAGCAGAGCACAGAGAACGGAGTGGGACCGACCTGTGAATGAGGAGAGGCACAGTTTGATGAGCGGTCCGCAACAGGAGGAGCTGAGGAGAGGTCTGCAGCAACAAGACGCCATCTGGCCCAGGAGTCGGCAGCTCCCAGAGATCAATGCCATCCCATCAGTTCCTCTCAGTCTCTTTAACAACAACAACTCCCTCTCTTCCTCTCTACTGGACAATTCCCGGCTCCCTTCCTATTTCTGTACTCTCCTTCCTGCCCTGCTCAGTCTGTCTTCCCACCAGTTAGGATCTGTCTCTAATGTCCCCCCCAGTATTAATTTCTCCTTCTTCTCTATCTGTCTGCTTCTCTTTCTAATATTTCTGTGTCTTGCTGTCTCCATCTTCCCCCTCCCACCAGTCTTGCTCTCTCTCTCCAGTAACTGCCCAGCCAGTCAGTGAATGCACAAAGCACTCTCTGCGATTGGTATGAGTGTGTAGGGGTTGGGGGGGCAGGCCTCAGTGATAGCGTTCTTATGTGTTGTGTGTGTCAGTGAAAATATGCACAGAATGTGTGTCACATAGACAATGTGTGTGTGTGTGGTGTGTGTGTGTGTGTGTGTGTGTGTGTGTGTGTGTGTGTGTGTGTGTGTGTGTGTGTGTGTGCGCGCGCGCGCGCGTTTGTTGCTGGGATAACGTATTGCTGATACACAGTAAGGTGATTCCATAGAGGGACAGGCTGCAAGGTCAGTGCTAAGTGGGGGTAAGAGTTTCCTGGTGACACAGGTTGAGGATCAGTTCATCTCCAACACAGAGTTTAACCCAACTCAGCTTTCTACCATCAGATGGCAAAGTGATATGACAAGAGCACCACAGAAAAGCCTCTTTCTACAGTGTGAGGTCACTGAGAAAAAAAAAGGCTGAATGCTGAAAATAGAGATGGCGTGGTGAGAAGATCGTGATAGACGCCATTGTTCTCACTTATGAGACACCCCTGATAATTAAGCGCATCAAAGGGAGGGGAAAATTAGAATAATTGACCTTAGGCGACCCATTACCATCAGAGAGGGACACGGTAAATAATACAACAATGGCTCCATTGAGAATGTGAAATTCTCTCCATTCTTAAAACATATATAAAAAACACAGTTACCCATACTATGATTTTCTCTTCAACATGCAGAGTATAGACAGAAGTAGTTATAATTGACAGTGTTTATGTCAATTATAACTGCTAAACATAAAAGCTTAATGGTAACTAATCACTTTCCTATTTTTAATCTCTCTCATCCATTTTCTTAACCACTTATCCAATTCAGGGGCAGACACGGCTGGGGCCTATGTTGGCAGTCCATCACAGGGCTAATACAAAGAAACAGACAACTATTGACAGTCCCATTCACAACCAATTTAGAATCACCAGATCACCTAAATATGCACGTCTCTGGACTGTGGTATGAGGCCAGTGTGCTCAGAGTCAAGCCCGACTGATATAATATGTTTAAGATCAATAATGATAAGATCGAATCCTGCAGGGTTTTTTTGTTTTTTTTGCTCGTTCAGACACTGAAGCATACATTTCCCTAACATTTGTTACCTGTAGTTACCCACTAACGTTCTGCACGACTCTACTCAGATCAGCTGTTATTGGTTTTTTGTGGCGTTCCAAATGTGTGTTCCCAAAAGGAAACTTGCAGAATGCCTTCTGGTGGAAAAACTATGCAACGTGAACACTCTTAAAATTGTTGATTATTATAAAATATTATTTATAAGCTGTTATAAATGCCGGTATTGTTAGATAGCCAATACCAGCTGATAATATTTACCCGTCAATAAATGGGTCAGGCTCTACCAGAACAAATCACACAGGGACATGGAGAAGATGCAGATTCCACACAGATCAACCACAGCTGACCAGTCGATCTGGTCAGCTGTGGTTGATCACTGTGTATTATCAGATAGGAGGTAGAGAAGTCTATACAGGGACTTTACATTAATTTAAAAATTACTGAAACTGAAATACTACAGTAGGTTTTACAGCAAAGGGTGTTTCCCACAAAATCAATGTGCACATATCTATACTTATCTATTCCAACATTTTAAATGGAAAGTGAATAAAACTACCAAAAAGTGTTGAATTGATGACACAAACATCACATGCCGTAAAAATAAGCTTATATGGAGAGTAAACCTGAGTAGAATTATGCATTTTGTTTTTGTACCCGAACAGTATCCAAGTTAAACTTTGAAAACGTATCTGATGACTGCCGGCAGACACAGCAAATTGCAGATTACGCCGTTAACCGAGATGGAGGGGCCAATTGATGTAATGAGGTGATAGAAACAGCTGATGCCTTACACGCCTCGTGTCAGCTACCATCAGATGCAATCACTGATGTTGGAAAACAAGTGCTTCCGCAAAATTAGGCGATGCAGAGGCCTGATATTCTTGTCTGTAACTGGTCTCCTCTTCTTCATGACTGAATCTTCGCATGTGTGCCTGGTGAGACAGAAAGCTGTAAACAAGCAGGAGCCATAGCAGGGAGTATCCTGACGCTCTCTGTACAGCCCTGCTTGTTTGCCATTGTTCAACAAATATCCAATCTAATAAACGCAGACTGGTCTCCAAGCTCATATGTGCAGTCACATGCACAGAGCATCAAAAGCTAACAGCAGCTGTCTCCATAAAACCATAGATACTATCAATAAAAAAAGGTAATTTGATTATACAAGTCACATAAATCCTCTTTACCAAACACCTTTAGATAAAACTATTGTTTCCTCTAAGCGGCAGTGTTCAAAACCCTTCTTCTGAGTGAGGCTGTCACACCACTTCACTAAAGTCTCTTATAAACAATGCTTGATTGCTGACTTGTTAAGCCTCAGACACATCATGCATTGCTTGTAATAACAGGGGCTGTTGTAACTAATGACCACATACCTTAAACAACCTCCCAGTCTCCACACAGTCTGAAGCCACAGCCACAGCCTGGTACACTATTGTGACACTCTGTGGGCCATGACAATAACATCTAGCATAATGAGAGACATATGGTGTGATCAGCTGTGTGTGTGGCTGCGTCCAACTGCATGACTATGCAGGAGATGTTTGAGGTGAGGTGTCTCTGGGTGTACAACGTAGGCTGGTAGACGGCAAACATGTGGGAGAGGAGTTAGCAGAGAGAAATATGAGACAGGGGTTATGAGCTCTAAGTTTAGACTATAACCCCCTGTTAACTCACTCACATGCCTGTGTGTCTGGGACGGAGAGAGCTCCCTGCAGGGAGATTCCCACAGTTACACAGAGACATTTGGATCCCTTAAACACACACTGTGGTGGATCACTGCAAAATGTGGTGGATAATTTCCACAGTTCATTACAGTCTGATTCTAAGAAGCCTTTGGATTGCCGCTTAATTGAGTTTTCTGACCTTTTGGAAGAATCTGTAACTATTTACTGTCAAACGATTAGTGAAACCGAGGAACTGAAATCACTACTTGGCAGCCACTGCTCATTCAAACGTTCAGAAAACTGTTTACCGTTTTCACTAGAGACTGACAACAGCCTCATGGTACAAAGTACAGCAGCGACTGCCCAACGGAATAAAGTTTATGACACCACGAAACTTAAAGATCAGCTAAAAGCACATTCTTACCTCTCTGTTGGCTCCAGCTCTGTCTTTTCAGTTCATTCCTGGTGTGCGTGGCAGAACGTATCTAATGAATGTACCGTGAGCGGTAACCGGTGAGCTGCGCGTCATGACAGCGGCTCAGTGTGCTGTCAATCTCCGCGGGTGAAAGCAAAGGAAACAGCGAAAAAGTGTGGAAGTGAGTGAGAATGTGGGTGTATGCGTGGGTTTGTGTGCGTGCCTGTCGCTTCAAAAGCGATCCGAAACAGCGTGCCACTGACCGAGGAAGTTTTTTCCCCTGTAACTCCTCCTACATTTACTTTGGGGCAGTCGTAGGGCCTCATTTTCTCTCTCTCTCTCTGTTTCTTCCCCTCTCTCACCCTCATGCATAAAAAAACTTCCTCTTTCTGTCAGAATCTGGAAACAGGATCCCACAGAGGACTAAACCGAAAAGAGGTCAGGTTATAAATATATCCTCAATCTATCTTCTCAAAACTATTCAAACCTGTTGCACGATTACAACATTCTTCGTAGTTAGAGTACCAGATGCACAATAATAAATACTTTCTCTCTTCCCATTCTACAACACCAGTCTCACCAGCTTGTCTTGCTGCACCACTAATGATGTCAGACGTTTAGATGACTGAGTAATCACCTGCTTTGTTTTGGGTTTGTTTTTTTTCTCTCTCTTTGTATTGTTCAGCACATACCTGACAAATCACTCATCTTCATTACAAAGCTCCTGTTTTTTTTCACAGGCCTGCTCAACAAGTCCACTGAATGTGGGAAATGTCCAGAGTGATGCCTGGAAGTGTGAAATATTTATCCTGGCGTGCTGCATGACACTACAAAAACAAAACAAAACAAAAAGGCACAGCAGTGACCTCTTGTCATTCTCTTTCTGGGCTATGCATCTCTGTTATGCATATCTGTGTGTGCAGTGATAATAAACGCCAAGCCGGCAGTGCTTTGGTCTGCCATTTTTTTTTCCTGTTTCTTTTGCGTGCTTAGTTAAATATAAACTCTGGAACTGATTGTGTAGCCCCAAGTACACCACCACTAAGTCACCCTGAACACACAACATCGTCCCTGTGGTGCTCATGTGATCGTGCAACTGGCTATGCAAGGCTGGAGGACACAGACCATTTATTTTGCTCTGCTTCCAATAGTCTGAGAGTGTTGGAGGGGAGGGGGTGAAAGCATTAAATATCAGCAAATTACAAATAGCCAGGAATAAGTAGAAACAAGCAAGCACAGCGTTGCAGGATGAATAGTAAAACACGGAGTGGGTATGTGCACTTTCCCCTTGCCATGTGAGTGGACAAAGGGCAAGGATTGTGAGATTTAGTGAAGAATGCAGCACACTGCTGATCAGTGCTACTGATAGTGGACACATGGCCACGGTGCGAATGACAAACAAAAGACACATTATAGCCATCTGATAAACAAATGAATGATAAGGCCAAAAACAACACAACCACACAACCACACACACACACACACACACACACACACACACACACACACACACACACACACACACACA